CAGGCCACGGCTGTGCAGCCCCACCCAGCTCTAACAGCATCATCATCAGTTGTCAGGACAAGAACCTGCTGCTCAACATCAGCAACACCAAGGAGCTCATCGGGCGGAGGCATTCGCATCGAGGGGAATAAAAGTGTAGCGAGTCGGCTGCTTCAGCTCCTGGGCATCAGTGAGGATCAGCAGCTGTGACGCTCTGTGACCAGCACAGCGCGTCAGCAGGTCTGAGCTGCAGCATCCAGGACATCTACAGGAGGACGGCCCAGAGCATCTTCTCTGGTCCCACCACAGCCTCACGCTCTTCATGGAGCGTCCACAGCAGCAGATTCAGGGACAGTTTCTACCCACAAGCCATCAGGACACTGAGTTTATATCACAGTTTATATCACACACTGTACATGTATGTACCACTACCTCTGCACGACAGTCACTACAGGATTTTTAATATCTGTATTCATTGATTTTACTCTTTTTTATTAAGAATTTCATTGGATGGTTGCAGCTGTGAAGAACTATTATCTTAGAGCGCTGGCTGTACGGCGGCTCGCGAGCTGTGAGCCAGCCTGAAGCTCTGGTGCAGCTGAAGCTGCTGGCTGTGGGAAGCCTCCACACTGGATCAGACTGCAGGTAAGAACTGACAGGAAATGATCCAGGATCAGTGAAAGTTCATTTCCAGTCTGACCCTGAACTCCTGCAGCTCTCACAGCACAGTCGCAGGTGTCCCGACGCCGTCTCTATGAGTGTGCGATTAGAAACCTTTGTGTGACTCACAGCTTGAAGCGGCGCTCATACTTTGGGTTCTTGTTGTTGTAGACGGTGTCAGTTTTAATCCTGATGCTGCGCTGCAGGTCAGAGGTCACGGCCAGCTGTGAACACACGCACAAACAGGTCTTTGATATTTGACTGTCGCAGTAGCAGCTGATCAACTTACTGACATCCTCACCTTCACATAGGAGTCACATGATCTCTGGGATTTTCCCATCAGCCCTCTGGCCTCATGGACTGCAGACAGAAGAGAACAGGTGGAGGAACGACTGATCGACACTGAGCTCAACAACGTGCCGACAGCAGCGCGCCTGATTTATTACGGGATAATATTTATTTCCACAAACATAAACTCGACATGTGAATCTGTCAGAGAACCTCAGAGCAGGAGAGGCAGCCATCTTTGTTTTCAGCTGATCAAACGAACTCTTCTGTAAGTCTCTGCTTATCCACCATCGTCCACGGGGCTGCTCCGAGGTTCTACCTGTGTTTTAATGATTATTCTATTCTATTCTATTCTATTCTAACTGTTAGAAGGCCTCCTCTGATTGGCTGCAGCACTTACTGTGAATGATCAGCTGTTGCAGCTCTCTGGTGACTGACAGTCGCAGCTGACCTACAGTGAAAGGAGACAGCCGGAGTCAGTTGCAGATTTAAATCGATCGATCATTGATCGATTGATCGCACCTCTGCCTCTGAACGCAGACGGCTGGACCTTCTTCCTCCTTCTGGTCCCGGTCTCAGGAATGCTGCCCATGGACCCGGACCTGGGTCCAACCTGGGATCAGAACATGGATCATTCTGAGCTGGTCTCGCTTTATTCTTACTGATCCTTTTAGCCAATCAGAGCTCTACAAATGTCCCAGAAACCAACGAGGAAGGCCCGTGCCACCTTTAGCAGAGGAGATGCTGAACCGTGCAGTGAGAATAAAAGCAAAGACACGAGCTGTGATGACAGGAGAGGTGATGACGCCGCCGCGGAGGACCAGACGGATATCATTACTGCGTTGTCATGGCGAGTGCTTCCTTTTACTTTCATTTTTAAGAAGTAATCAGAACAAACATGAAGCTTCATGTAAACCTTCATTTTGTTGTTTCTGCTAAGGTTGAGTTTACGTTTCCATGGTAACCTTGTGTCTAACGTTGCTATGAACTCTGGGTATCGCAGTGAGACCTGGACAGAGAACCCTCACAGACCCACCTC